GGAAGAACTGGCTTTCTAACTAGTGTCTTTTTCATAAATTGCTCCGGACGAATGTCTGCTTGCAAAAAGAGAGTTCGCAAACTAGTTTTTGGCACCTGATAAAATTTTGCAGCTTTTTCAGCCCCATTTTCTTGTCTCTTACCATACTCACTACCTCTATCATTTTCTCCTTGCTCCATGTTTGTCTCTTCGTGTTTTTTTTTATTTGTTCAGCTGGGCTCTATGCTCTGAAAATTAAAAAAAATTCAATTCGAAAAAATCAGTTTAAAAGAACACTTATCTATCCAGACGTTTTTCAACCAAAATACTGTAACTTCAGAATTTCACTACATCTACTTATTTATAGTTTTAGGTATCTATTCCTAATTTTTTCATTCATGCGTCACATACTTTTACGAAAATTATTCCATGATTTGAATTTGTGGATAATACGGAACAGCAGAGGAGTCGGGTTCCATATCAAAAATACCAATGGGGTCCATATTTCACGCATTGCCATCTTAGGTTAACTTAATTTTTGTCGACACCAAACTTTAAAAATGTAAGCATCAGACAGACTAACACGTACTCCTAGGCCTCTAGAACGGGACACATGCACCAGGGAACCTACAACTACATGATTTATATTTTAGAAGTAATTAAATTTACTTACCATTCAGAAGTTTGAAATTGCGAAGAACAAAAACGTCCTGTTTCACTGAACGCAACCGCATAACTGAAGTGGGAAGCGTCCTCCCCTTGCTATGGATGTCTGCCTATTGAAGCTTAGCCACAATTTGCTAGAGTTCGCATTTATTATCAGTCTGAAATGGGGGATTCCATAATACCACCTTCTCCTCTATTATATAAATCAATAAAGGCATATCACGAAATATCCCGATAATGATTTGAAGAGCATTTTTTAAATTTTTATAAAATTCTATTGATTTACATTAAAGTTTTTAAATTAAATAACAAATACTTAATATATAATTATGTAAAAAATATGACAGAAATAACTTTAAGAATTTCTAATTTCTCAGTTATTACTATTTTCAAAAACATGTAAACTTATAAACAATCTTAAAATTTTAAATTTCAATCAAAATACCTCGCTTAATAAATATTGAAAGATTGAAATAAAACGACAATTTCAATATAACAAATGACATTTTTTCTTTAAAACTGTCATCACTACTTCCATTAATTAGATTAAACTTCACGTATTGCACATATCATATTGTATATCATATACATTAATTATTATAAATGCATTCACTTAATTACTATACTGCTCATTATATATATATATATATACTTGTATACATTTCTATATTGTTTACATTTTTAAATTTAATAAAACAAACTGTTATTTATATTATATTTTGTAAACTTTTTCCATTATTTATCTTCTTTAACGCAGTGTAATAAGTGTTCTTATCGTAGATATCTACCGAGCCGCGTTAAACAAATACAATGTGAAATTACAAAATAAAAGAACATAAAAAAATAAAAATAAACAATTTTTTAAATCTAAATAATAAAAGAATAAGTTTATTTATTGTTTATTGAGAAAAGATATTCTAATATAGATCTACAAATACTCAATATTACTATGATTGTGCCTACCATAACGTGTTCAAAATTTGCAAAAAATATATATTTATAAATATAAATGTTATTCCTCAATTGATTTATTAGATTTAAAATCTTCGAATTTAATAGATCATATTTTATTTTAGTAAAATGTTGTTTGATAGGCTAATACCCGAAAACATTATTGAATTAAAGCTTCAATCAATGTTAAAACTGTCAAAGTTATTATTTGAAATATAAAACCATATTTGTAAGGATTTATCAAAAAGTAGCATCAATTTTCAACAATAAATATCCATTAAATGAAAACAAATAAAAAGCCATTTTTCACTGACAAAAAATATTTCCTACACGTTTATCGGCCATTAATTAAAGATTAAAACATATCTAAATTAAACTTATTTGTAAGAAAATTAAAAATTTTTTGATTATCTGTTTCTTGTGTTATCGCTAATCTTTTCTTATAAAAAATTTAAAGTAGAAGGGGAAAGAAAGCACCATATCTAATAAGAAGTTTGAGTACAAAACCGCAATTGGATTTCTTTGACAATGATGGAATACCTGCAGCTTTACTACTTTTTTTCTTCTTTACTTACCGTTATAACGAAGATGACATTCCTTCTCTCGCACTGTTCTCTTTTATTCACTCTTTTCTTACTCCCCATCTTCATCTTCACAGAGACTGATATGTACATAAATTGTTTTCATCCAAGGAACGTGCATCTGACATTTCTCTACAACGTTTTTATTTTATTTTTGGGACAGTAAAAAACACAACAAGAAACAAAATAATAATGACGAGCAAAAACTGCCGAACTGCAATTTAAAATCAATTTAAAATATATGCTCTCGATTTCAAATATTGTCTTACCCTGTAAATCATACTTTTCCTGATAACGACAGAGTTTTGCCGTTAAGAGAAAAATTTTAAATTGAAATCATATGGGTTTATGAAGGAAGTTTGTATGCAGTTAATTAGGGCCTGCTGTTCTTAAGCTTTTCATATATGGTTTCAATTCTATCTATCTAACAACATTCTCGAGATTAAGAAAGGACAGACATGCAGACCGACGACAATAGAAATTAACAGGTCTACAATGTTTTTAAGATTTCAGTCCACTAATGATGCCTAGTAAAACAGGAGTATCGAAACTGTAGCGTAACTTTTGATGAATATTTCATAGTTTTAAAAACAAAATACTTATAGCATAAATATTTATGATATAAAACTCCAATATATTTCTGTCCAAAATAATTTTGAAAAATTAGCTTCATAAATCTTTTGTATTAAATAAAATATATTTTAAGTGCCGTTATTATCATAATGATTCCTATAAATCGAAAGTTAGATGATAGTTCAGAACTTTGATGATAAAAACTGTAACTTTTTCTGTGAAATTTTTCTGATCAATATATCTTTTATTACGTATTGTCTGAAAAATCAATATATCACAATAGCTTCTGGTATTAATATCGAATCACGTGATGAAGCTACTTTTTATGATGTTTATTATCACAAAAAGTGTTTTATGTATCGGATTTTTTTATGTAATGTACCTGCTTTACAATATAAACTTGGATATAAATGATAAATCTCATCAAAATTCTATTAATAGTGTGCAATAAGTTACATTTTTGTATTATAGATATTGATATAGGCCCTATATAAATTGATGTATATAAAATAATGTAATAAGATACTTTATATAGATATTTAACTGAATTCTTNGTTTTACTTTTCGTAAATAACTTTAGTTTAATAACTTGTATAATAAGTAAATAAATATATACGTTTTCGGTTATTTTATGATTAGAAATATTGCAAAAGCATCAATGTTTATGGAAAACATCCTACTTGTTACATCCATGTCGTGAGTGGATTATATATACCACTAAACACTGGTTGTTTATTGTGGGTTCGCACCTGATCAATGAACTGGCCACATGGATTTTCCCGGGTTTTCTTTACGTGTCTAACACCTAAATAGGAACCAATTTCCTATAGAAAGTCCACACAGGAGACAACTGGCCCCTATTTAAGTGTTAGACACCTATGATTCGTTGCCTTCTCCCGTCAAACATAACAATTTTAAATATATCATCTCACTAGTTTAAACTAAATAAAAAAAATTTAGTTATTTTCTAAAATTATTAAAGGTAAAGTCTATTATTTTATACTTTAATTACTAAATTTAAGCATGGTTATTATTATACTTATAATAAATTATGATAAAATAGAGTTAATTAAAAGTACATTGAACTAAAAGTGTTTTTGTTAAGAACATGCTGTTAATAGTTTCCAGTATGATAAGTATATTATACTGTATTATGAATTTAATGACTTCCTGGCAATGACGTCAAGAAAATGTGCTTAAGTTTATTAGATCGATGCTATTAATCCTTAAGTAATTCTTGTAAGACAATAAAGCCTCTACATTATAACAGTAACAAGTGCTTTAAAAAATAAGTATTAACTACGTATATATTACTATTCTACGCTGCGTGATGCCATAATAGGATGCAAATTCTGATTAACTATACACGAATTTCCGGTTTAGAACGGAAGTCACATGATTTAAATTCAAAAGTTTATTCCAGAAAGTAGTTACATATATGACCGGCATATCTCTGTTGTTGCCAGGTGAAGTAAAGTATGTTATACAGGGGCAGGACACTAATAATTTTAGATCAAGAGCATATATTTTAAATTAAATAAATTAATAATATGATTAAAAACTGCAGCTTGACATTGTGACAATATCACAATAATTTTTCAGAAATTTAATGAAAAATTTCACATATTATCTTTGTTCTTCTACAATTATAAAACGTTGAATAAAATTTTGATTATTTCAATAGAATATACAATAAAATAGATATTTCTGTATGTTAATTTTCATGTTTTAGATAAGAAATAAGTGTATTGAGTGAGAAACATTGTTGAATTCTTTTTGAGTGCATTGAAATCTTAAAAATGCAATGATACAATAATCTCTTATCCTCTCCTCTCTCATCTCTTTTATCTCTCGCTTTCTCAATAATAAAATATTAATTTTAATACAGAGAAAAATTTCGACCATAAGCTACTATAATTTCTAACTAAGAGATATTGTATAGTTTTAAATTTTCTTGATAGCACTTAGATAGGATGATCGTTTTGTTATTTATAGATTCTTATTAAATTCAAATAACAACTTCTAGACGAAAGGACACAAATGCAAAATTCATTCAACAAAGTGCCCAAATGATTTATTTAATGACAAATCTAGTAATTACACAACCCAAAATCCACAAAACAAAGTTAATTATAACAGAATTTATTTTATAATTTACACGAAATGTAAATGATTTAAATAAATCCAATTATTAATAGTTATAAGTCTGAAATTTTATTAAGAAACTCAATTGAATTATATTAATTATACTGAAATTATATCTTGATCTTAAGAGTTACATTCGAAATCCTGAGATATTCGAGAAAATGGAACGGATTACACGATGGTAATAATACAATGTTAAGAAATGTCGTAGATTAGTGTCTAGATAGAGTTATTATATAATATTTCTATGTTATCCGTCTCAATCTTTCATTTCAAAACACGAAAAGCTACAGATTAAAATATGAAAATAAAGTACTTCAGGCAATCGATTCCGTAAAAATGTTTACAGTTAAATAATTTTTATTTATTTAATTCACGTATCACAAATTATTCAATTTAAAATTGCAATCTTTGTTTCTGTAATACTGTAATTAATTAAGAAACTAATAATGTTTAATTATGTTTGCTAAAATAAATTATGTAAGTTAGTATTTTAATGCTTCAGATAAACTAGAATATTTACTTCGAATCACCTAGTATTAACCAATTTCATATAAAATGTATAAAAATTTAATCTAGTTTGTATTCATTTAATAATAAAGTAATCATATTTTTACAATATATATGTTACTGTGAATGACCGATATCACGCGAATGTTAACATTCTCCGGTGAATGTCAGCATTCACAGAGTCGTTTCGTGTATGTATGAAATATTTGCTAAATATCATTATTTCTCACTTACACCGGCAAATGTCGACATTCAGCATGCACTGATGGTGAATATTGAATAAAAATATTTTTATTACGTTAAGACAAAAATGCAACTTTTTAATATGTCAAAATAGGAGAAAGCTTAAGTAACAGCACATGTAAATAAACTGTTAAACCTAAAACAAACAGTACATTCTAAAATTTATTAAAGAAAATAATACAATAATAAACTTACACATAAATTATCTGATTAACGTTATACAAACTTATTTATTGGAACAACTTAAACTGTTATGGCACTTTGAATTTCACAAGAGTTCCTTGCTTTTGCAACTGCATTTATTCGTGGAACACTTCTGTTTGCAATGGCAGCGTGTATAGCCTTGCCCTCCACTTTTCGAATTAGCTGCAGCTACTTCTCTTAGCGACACTTCTTGAGAAGAAATCTGATCTATGGAAAGTAACTTTTCTTTACAAATTACGAACTGATTACGGGTATAAAGCTGCTTGAGGGTAACATTTTTGTTTGCTAATTTATAAAAGTTGGAGTCTTCTATTCCAACAACAACCGCCAACACATTTCAGGCATCTGTACGGCCACGGTCGACATCAGGGACTTGTATTCGTATGATATCACCAATTTCAGCAGAAGGAAACGGCGTAGAATTTAGCGATACACTGTCGCCTCCCTGTCGACATGGGCTTCTCGGGTGTTGTTTCGACCTCCACCACAGCTTATCTGTACTTGTCGACATACACCTGCGATTGTTCGAATGTATAATAACCAACTATTCGGTCTTTCACCGACGTATATTGTATGTGTCGACATTCACCGGAGAATATCGACATTCTCTAATTTCGGTCTTTCACAGTAATATATATATATATATATAGTTTATAAGTAAATATTTAAATTATATTCATACGTACACGTTAAATATTTTTATAAGTTGTATAGTACATACTTTCAACTCAAAAGATAAACAACTTCCTTTGCATTATATAATATATCATGTTTTACTTTTCGTAAATAACTTTAGTTTAATAACTTGTATAATAAGTAAATAAATATATACGTTTTCGGTTATTTTATGATTAGAAATATTGCAAAAGCATCAATGTTTATGGAAAACATCCTACTTGTTACATCCATGTCGTGAGTGGATTATATATACCACTAAACACTGGTTGTTTATTGTGGGTTCGCACCTGATCAATGAACTGGCCACATGGATTTTCCCGGGTTTTCTTTACGTGTCTAACACCTAAATAGGAACCAATTTCCTATAGAAAGTCCACACAGGAGACAACTGGCCCCTATTTAAGTGTTAGACACCTATGATTCGTTGCCTTCTCCCGTCAAACATAACAATTTTAAATATATCATCTCACTAGTTTAAACTAAATAAAAAAAATTTAGTTATTTTCTAAAATTATTAAAGGTAAAGTCTATTATTTTATACTTTAATTACTAAATTTAAGCATGGTTATTATTATACTTATAATAAATTATGATAAAATAGAGTTAATTAAAAGTACATTGAACTAAAAGTGTTTTTGTTAAGAACATGCTGTTAATAGTTTCCAGTATGATAAGTATATTATACTGTATTATGAATTTAATGACTTCCTGGCAATGACGTCAAGAAAATGTGCTTAAGTTTATTAGATCGATGCTATTAATCCTTAAGTAATTCTTGTAAGACAATAAAGCCTCTACATTATAACAGTAACAAGTGCTTTAAAAAATAAGTATTAACTACGTATATATTACTATTCTACGCTGCGTGATGCCATAATAATAAGTGCTAATTATAACAATATATTAATAATATTTTTATAATTTATACAGGTTTACATAATAGCTTTCTTCTAAAATTACAATAAATTTGACTGAAAAAACTAAAATTTAATTTACATGTAAACAAAAAATATTTCAAAAGTAATTAATTATCAATTTACTTGAAAATTTGGCAATTAAATTATAATTTTTCTATAAATTACTATAATTTTCTCCCTTTGATTAATAACAATTAAATTTTCAAAAATTTAACTGTATAATTTATTCATTTAAATAGTTATCTAAATGTTAATCCAATTCAGTAATTAATAAAGTTCTAAGAAAGTATATCAACTCATTATAATGTAAATATTAAGAACTTTACTTTGTGTAAATAAATATTATATTGTGAATTAATTCCGAATAATCGTTCCACAGATTTATATTTTTAATATGAAATCTTCAGATAATTCTTCTGTCGATAAAATACTAATTGCATGTCGAAAATTTAATTTCATTTATTTAAATTATTAAAGTGTATTGATTAAAATTCACTAGAAAATTGAAGTTAAAAGTATCTTAATTTTAAAATGAGCATTTATTTAATTCGTTAATCAAGTTAGAAGAAAAAAAATGAAGTTTTAGATTAATTTTAATGTGATAATTATGTGTTTAATAAGTTCTTAATTATTTTTCAATACATTTAATTATCATTTGCTTAAATATAATCAATAAAACAATAATGTTTATTAAAAGTAGCATTACTCGTGTAGTTCGCGATCTACAGCTTGAGTATATTGTAATTTAAATTACTTTAATTATTTTAATAGACAGATTAACTATCAATATTTTTTTTTTCATTTTTAAAATTTAGTTGTATTATTTCTACTTATTAATTATTTTTTTTTAAATTGAGAATTAATTAATATTGTATATTACAAATATAGACGGCATTCAAAGAAATTTCTGTTATTTTTTATGTCGATATATGTGACGATACAATACAAAACTGCTACATCAGCAATTTAAAATAAGGTAAGTATTATCTTATTTCTACATAAATGCCTCAACTGCATTAGAATTAATGCAACAGAGCACTTTTTACGGTTACGTAAACATTTGTTTCTGACTTCCAAATGCTTGAATACAATCATATAATCGAATTTATCATAATGTTTAATTTCTAATTTATTTACGGATTAATGAATCAAAATAGAGCCAGTTTATCAAATTCCTCCTCTCAAGAATGCAATAAAATTGCATTAAATAGAATTAAAGACGTTTGATGTTGTTTAAAATCGTTCGAAATTAGCATTCCTCACGTTATTATAATTTAAGCGCATCTTTTAATGATTTTTTGCACCAATCTGTGCCAAAAAATGTATTATTTAACTACGATAACACCAAGAAAATTAAGGGGAAAAATCATCCCTTTACCTGTCGAAATTGATAATAATAATTAGGTTAAATCATATATTTCCTTAAAAAACAAGTGGTTATAATAATACTTGCATACTCCCCTCGTGTATAATTAATACAATTGAATTTTTATAGCAATACAGTATTTTTATATACCCTAGTAATAAATTTTATTATCAGAGTAAACAAATACGTAACAGAACATAAGTAAATGTAGTGTTATAAACAAAAGAAATGATTATACTTAATAGAAGGCAGATACTTGTACTGTTCGATATTGGAGCTTCTGCCAAAAGAGGGAGCTGGAATCGTCCCCTGAATCGGTTTGCCGCATCTGGAAATATAAAGTTAAAGGATCAAGTGCTTTCTAGTCAGTCGGTGATAGTGTGAGGTTGTAGCAATATATATTATGTCTGTGCCAATATGAGGAAATACCACGTAATGCTTTATTTATATCATCGAGTAGCTACAGGTAAGAGTTTCCCCCTTTTTATAAGTAATTTATCTATTAATTTCTTTGTAAAATTTTAAAATATTTCACTAATTTGATTTGTAATTAGTGTATTATTAAGTACAATAGTTGCTTTGATTGTATGTACATTTTAATCACTTGTAAAATATCAAGTCAAATTGATAAATTCCTTGAGGTTAAGTGAAGTATTTTAAATTATATACTTAAACTGATTTACTTATAGTTTTAAAGCTGTCGACAGTAAAAGAAATATATAAGTATATATTATATATTTTTTAATTATTGTCTGACTTCACATCTAGATTAGTTTTAAAAAATTAACGAAGAAAACTCGTGTTATTGTTTCCTTTAAATTCATATAAATACGCTAAATTCTTTTAATTTAAATGTTATATATTTATTACTTTTTTCTTTATGTACAATTAAATATTTATTTGTTTATTCGAAGATTAAGAAAAACTTTGTAAGGCATTTGCGATTAAAAAATCGATATTTGTAAACTTTAAAAAAAGGGATGGAAACAGTTCCTTTATTTTTTGAAAATTTCGTACGTTCTTAAGCTGAAATTTTAAATTAACATTAACAAATTGACTATGTTTTATCTTAAATAATCATAAGTTAATTCGGAAATGATGGATATTTACTTGAAAATATCAGCTCAGAACTTATCTCTACGCATCTTTATTTATCCTAAAGTGGAAAATCGTTTCTTTTCGACTCATTCTTATAGGGAAAAAACTCCTTTCCAAACATTTTTCTCGTGTGATTTGACATCTGTGCTGAAATAATTTGGGACCGTGTTGCTCTAGAAATACAATGTTAAAAAAAGAAATTAAAAATTACTTTAAAATGTTTAAATTATTTTTAATAATAAATACTCACATCCTACCATTGCATAAATTTTAATTAATTTTAATAACAAAGTAATTTTTAAAAAATTTAGTGTTTGTATCTAAGTAAATAAATAATATTTAAAATTCGTAATTTATATAAATTTATTCGCTGCTTAATTGTAATTATAATTTTCTATTATTTAAAACTCCTAAGAGAGGAAATGGTTTTTAATTTATGATATATTCTAATGGACAAACAATTTCGGTAGGATCGTAATGTTCCTATTATTTTATAAATATTCTTTACCGTTTTGCTAATTTCTTATTATCCTTAGAAACTATGTGAATTTAACAAAAGCATCAATTCAACAAGATGGAAACGGAATTGAGGTGGTTCCAAATTTCCCATTAACACCAATTCACTAGTATAGTTTATCTCTTAATTTTCGCTTTATGGCTAGAAAACCTTCCATTTTATATTAAGGGAATAAAGGAAGTAATTCTATTTTGATAATAAAAGAAATACGTGTGACAAAAAACATAAATCATAAACACTATTTCCAATACACGTGGTAAATTCAGATGTATCAAGAAAATGGTAATGAGTTGTCATGAGAAATATCAATACATCGACTCACGAGGGTCAGCAGAAAATTTGCCAGAGGGGGCAACGCTTGAAGACAATTAATTACATCAGTAAATTATTTAATTATTTAATTTTTTCGGTACTTTTTAACAGACAAAGTATGGTCAAGAGTATGCAACCTTGCACAGGTTACACGATAATTTGTGGAATTTTCGCTCCATTATGTGGAAAGTGCTCCGTTTGCCCATGATGCAATAATTCGAAATTATTCGTCTTAATGCTATTTTTTATTGGAATTTCCATGACAAATCTTTGAGAAAATGTATAAATCTCTTCGATTTTTTAATCACGTTTTATATTAATTGTGATAAAAAATATAAGTATAAATGATTAAAAATAAATAAATTGATATATATCGTCATTAAGAAATCATAAAATATATTAACTTATAAAATTGTTTTATTCAATGCAAGTGTACGTGTGGTATTATTTAGACGGGATACGTGTAGTTTTCGAAATCAACTAATCATAAGTTTAACCTCTAGGCTACACTTAAGAACTATAAGTGAAGATGGAGATATTTCAGAATGATTTTTATTGTAATTCCGGAGAAAAGATTTATCAAAAGTTGATGTATTTTTTAAATTGTCTGACAAAAGAAGGAGGTATCTTTTCATTTAAATGTCAACTAAATTTTAAGTACTAATGAAAAAAGTAATTGAAGTGAATAGCTGTTAAAAATCGTAATGTTGAAAATAAAAATTCCTCGATAAAATTATTCATATGAATATTTTAGGAATGAAAAAAAATAACAAATCAATCTGCCTACTGAAAATGATTATGAATAATTTTAATTTATTATTTTGATACAAAAATTAAATTTTATATAAGAAATTTTGTATATTATTTTTTTCAAAAGTTCCTTAAATTCTTATTATAGTGTTACTATATAATATTTTATTTTTATGAATTTTGAAACTAAATCGATAATGCATTCTCCTCCTCCTCTTCCTTTACTATTCTGTATTGTAAAATAAAAAAGTAAGGATTACAATAAAACTTTCTACATAATTTTATTAAATATCATTTGTTAAAAATTGAAATATTTTATAGAATTATGCCAAAATTCGTTGTTATGAGAAGTTATATGAATTTATATAAATATTAGATGTGTAAAATATTGTTTTTGCATAATATATTATATATATATATATACTTATAAATCTATTAATTATGCTTGTTTTCCTCGATATAAATTAATGATCATGATATATAATTAGGATTTAAAATATTTAGAAAATCTAATTGAACAAATATTTTGTTTTTCTGCTTCAATTTTTATTATTTGTTTTATGTTTAAATTTCTCTTTTTTCTCCTATGTTTTGCTCAATTCGATTTACTTATTTTCACATCCTTTAAAGATAACTGTAGACTACTAATTCTTTAATAAAATATAAATTATAAACTTGTTTTGTATCTAATTAATTAGAATTGAAGATTATTTTTATGAAATATTTAAATTTATTATTTAGTTTATGATACTTTACACCAATAATTTCTGAAGATTATTTAACTGCATATTATTGAGTAGACAAGAAAAGAAATATCGGAGAAATTTAACGTTTAATTATATAAAAAAAATTTAATCGATTCGAATTATTTTAATTTAAAATTAAATTGGCTTTTTTAATTATTAATTAAGTAGGAAATAATAAATAAAAAATATATTACAGTTTATAGACAAAATTGTCACGCTCATTCTTATAAACGTGGGTTATATACCATGTATACAATAATGTTAATGGGAGGGGACCAAGGCTCCTGCTCCTACCTTTTGTAAATAAATAAATTAAAAAATAAAATAAGTAAAGGTTTACTTATACATATTTATGTACAGTACAATGCCCGAATTTAATCATCTACAGAGTGAGTGACTACATCCACAGTGATACGAATACAAGGGTGAGTAGGTTTACACGTTATAATTCAGTTTCCCTAGTTACACTGTTGTACAGTAGTGTAACTAGGGGGCTTGAATATGTATAAATTTAAATTGTGTTTATCTTAATATAAACACAATCCAATAAAATTATGTTTTATAATTGTTCTGTTGCAAAGCACAACATTGTTACACCGAATAATTATCTTGCAAATAAATTTATTTCCGCTCTACGTTATGGAGATTATGATTAATTTTTATATATAATTGATTAATAATTCTCTGTATGAATTCTAGTGTATGGTTAAACAAATAATTGGTGTCTTTGATGATCTTAAAAAATTTAAATTATTTTCTCTCTTCTGTTCGATAATACATTTACAATAATAAAAATTTATGTAACTGATTAATCCGGTAAAATTCTTTTTTGTACATGGAAATAATCCCATTCGCATTAACTCATAAGCCTGAAGATTTAATGTTAATTAACAGTGTAATATCAATTAATTATAATTGCAAAGTGAATAATAAAAATATTATAATTTTTTTAAAATAATGACAATGGAATATTAATTAGAAAAAGAGTTTGGCGTTATAATTAGTATACGTTGAGCTGATTCTTTCATTTATTTCCTTATACAGGTATTTTTAATTAATAATTTGCTTATTTACAATGTTAATGGAATATTTATATAGTTTCATTTAAATATAAACATTAATGTAATATTTTACATACTATTTTACTATCAGAGATGCTTTTTACAAGATTTAAAAGAAAAATAATAATGCAATTTACGGTATATCGTTGGATATACGGTAAAACCTGTGTAACACAGAAACCTGACAAAGTGGAAAAGTATTAGGTACCGTGAATTTCAGTTTACACAGGTTTAACTGTAAATGGTTACAAATTTAAATTTTTATTATAATTTTCAATTTTAAGATATTATCGATGTAAATACACGTCTTTTATATAATTTAATAAATTTATATACAGGTTAAAAACCTCTGTAAAACGGAATCGCATGATTTCTAATATTTTTCTGCTTTGACAAGTTTCTATTTTGAATGGGTTTTTTTTAACGTAGAAAATCGCTCCGTTCCGAAGAATTTTTCCCGTTTTACTCAGGTTCCGTTTTGGACAGGTTTCGCCTCAGATAACAATTCTTCAGTTATATTAGAGACTGTAACTTATTGTTAAAAATAATTTCTATTGAAAAACTCTATTAGACTTTAACTTCTTGAATTTGATGGACGTATGAGCATAGGTAAACTAACAGGTGATTTTAACTTGAATAGGAAAAACGTGCCTAATTTTTTTAAAATTCAGATCTTCATGAAGTTCATGAGAATTTTCTTTTTATATATTTATTTCCATAAATATGTAAAATCATGATAAATAAGCCAATACAATTTTCGGGGTATTCTCCGCATTCAAATGGGAATTTCCTGTTAGTTTTATTTGCTTATCTGATCGTATTTCCAAAATAAATTTATATTGATTGAATAGATTTGAAAAGAAAATTGGATGCAAATTGTGTATAAGTAATAACAATTACAATTTTTATTTTTTTAATTTGGTGTTTTGATTATTATTTTCTATTTATTTCTAACGTTATATGTTGATAAAGTACCTTTCTT